CTGCAAGTGTGTTATAACATTTTATACTCATTTATGCTATCAGGTAAAAGAGACACACCATGTGACAATTAATAATATGTCAAACAACTTTCTTTATAAATCATACGTCCTTGCCTTCTAGTAATTGCTACTGTGGCTCTCCCTTTCATTACAGGATGCCAGCTACACAGCCTAGCATAGAAAATGCTTCCAGCGGTGGCTCCCGCTTACTCTCCCACCATTCTTCCAGGGCTACCGTCGGACCCAACCACAGTCCCTTGTCTGGGGCATTGTGCTATTTCATACCTCCCTGCCTTTGCCTCTACCTGGGAAATTCCTCTTCATTCTTCCAGAGCTAACTTGAATGTCCTCAGCGAAGTCTTTGCAATGGTGCAGTGGTTCTCAAGCTTTTGCATGTCCCAGAATGCCCTGTAAAATACAGATTGCCACCCCCACCCTCAGAGTCTCTGTTTCAGAGACTGGTGGAGTCAAGAATCTGAATTTCCAACAAGTTCCCAGGCAATTCTGATGTCACACGGGGAGCACGGCTGCCCTAAGTGGTAGAAAGTGTACTGTGCCCTTGAGCCCTTCACTAGTTTATACATCCTCCATTACACACTCCTTCTCAGGACAGGGAGTAAGACAGTATCTAGCACACGGGTACTAAACCAATGGATGGATGGATAGAAGGTTGGGTGGACAGATGAATGTAGTAGACTGAATTTATTTACACAGCTTTTCCATTCAGGTCCAGGACCTCAGCAATGCCCACACCCACTCCACCTCCCAGAAAAGTACTTTGAAAACAACATCTTTAGTAGATTCCCACTGTGCATAGAAGATAAAAGCAAATTCAAGAAGAGTTTTGGCATGGTGAGCATGGGTCAAAGAGTTCTGAATTCTAATCCAGTTCTCTCTGCTACCCTGGCCCCAGTGGGACTGTTTACCAAGGTGGCATTTCAGAAGTCACAAGAGAATGCTTCTGAGTGGGGTGCCTGGGTGGTTCAGTCGGTTAAGCGTCTGACTCCCGATTTCAGCTCAAGTCATGATCTCAGGGTCATGCGATTGAGCCCCACATCGGGCTCCGTGCTCAGTGGGCAGTTTGCTTGAGATTCTCTCCCTCACCCTCTGCCCCTCCCCCTGCTCACTGGCACTCTCTTTCTAAAATAAACAAATAGGGGCGCCTGCATGGCTCAGTCAGTTAAGCCTAAGTCTGCCTTAGGCTCAGGTCATGATCCCAGGGTCCTGGGATCAAGTCCCAAGGGCTCCCTGCTCAGCCAGGAGTCTGCTTCTCCCTCTCCCTCTGCCCCTCCCCCCACTCATGCTTGCTCGCTCTCTGTCTCAGATAAATAAAATCTTTTAAAAATAAATAAATAAATCTTTATCAAAAGAGAGAGAGAGAATGCTTCTGAGTGGCACCACACAGAGCCCTAACCTGCCCCCCATCCTCCCTCCTTTTATTCGTACACATGTAGTCTATGTGTGTGTGTACCTGTATGTACACGCACACACCTGCGCGCACACACATACATACGCACGGTGATTTCATTTGTAGAAAGCAAACAGAGGTCATCAGAGAAATGCAAGAAGGAAGAAGAATCCAGCCTCACGCAGGGAGGGCAGGGGAGGGTGACAGCTTAGGTAGGGAAGACCCCATCAGAAAAGTCCTATCCCCCCAAGGTGAATGTCGGAGCTCCAAGCATCCCAGCACTGCCTATAGCTGAGGCGGAGAGGCAAGGGCATGAAGGAAAGGGGACGAGGCTACAGAAGAGACAAGAAGTGTATACTCAGGAGAAAACACGCAGCGAGGAGAGGAACAAAGGCGAGAGAACAGGGTGGATTGCTGAGCTGGCGGCCCGGGGCAGCCTGGGACTGGGGGGCAAGGGGAGGTCAGTGCTGGCTCCGGCACTCCGCTCTGCCTGAAAGCAGGCGTGAGCATCGGCTTGGCGGGAGACACAGTCGGGGGGTGCGGCGAGGGACAGCAGGTGCACCAAAGTCAAAAGGTCTCTACTGCTGCCGGTGGTGTGAGCGCAGATGCCCATGCCATGGAAAACTCCAGAGTCTGTAGGGCTGTTTTTCTCCTAGGCCTGCGTGTGCTCACAAGCAGCTGGGCCACCCTGCAGCTCGGCTAAAGAGGGAAAAGTCAGCGTTCCCACTTTGCTGGCGTCCAGAACTTTTCCTGTGGGATCTGCAGATTAGCCTCTTGGATGAAGCTCTCCTGCTCCCTTCCCCCAGTCCAAAAGCCTTGCCAAGGAAGGATCACAAAGCTGGGACCTTCGATGCCGCAGAGCTGTCGCATTCAATTCACCACACAGCCCCAGTTGCATTTAGGGGCAGGATGGATGGGAGCCCACCCCCACCCCAAGCAGTGGGAGCAGCTAATGACGGGGTATTAATGATGCCGGCAATTAGTGCTCGCGAGAAAATGGTTGGGGGACTGCTCACCAGGGGAATGTGGGAGGGAACAGAGCAGACATTCAGAGCAGCAGACAGATTGGTGGCATGCGTGACGCAGAGAACCTAGGAAGAGCTGCTGTCTCTTAGATCTGTTCCGAGAAATTGGGGAAGAGGGAAGGAATGGCTTCTGTGGCCTCGGCGGCCTTCCTGCCACACCCTCCTTGCTAGCAAAATTGGAGTTAACCACAGAGTTCTCAGAGGCATCGTGAGCAGACGTTGTTTAAAAAAGGTGTTTGCGAAGGTTCTGGAACTTTCCCCGTGTAAGGAGGCCCCTGATGAACCCAGGGACAGCTATTCTTTTCTATGCAGCTTAAAACCCTTGGGTTTTTGAAGAACTCAGTTTGTCATCAGCAGGGGAGGGGGGAGGGGAGAGGACTCGCAGCCACACTGGGGACACACCTCCATCCAGGAGGAGGACAGACATGGCTTCCTGACTAAGCGAGGCCATCTGGCCTCATGGTGAAGACATGAGGAGACAGAAGACGCTGAGTCACGAGAATACGTGAGGAGATCCTGGTAGACAGAGGGAAATAGGCCAGCGTGCACCCCGGAAGTCAACAGCCAGCAGGTGCAGGCATGGGGCAGCCGGGGGGGGGGGGATGCCTAAGGAAGAGACTTCCTTGATCTGCTTCGGGCCTGCAGCATACCTTGGGGACCACGAGGAACCTTCCTCTGCTGTGGCCATCACTGTGCACACACACAAAAGAGACACAGACCAAAGAGAAGCATTCCAAACCCTATTGTATGAGTAAAGCACCGCAACACGGGGACCAAGTGGCTTGACATTTGAGAAGAGATGTAAAGAAGATAAGCCAGCACTGGGTGGAGTGGGAAATAATACAAAGTTAACAAATACTTCAGAGAGAGCAACTGTGACTAATAAATACTTTCCAGATAGCAATCCAAATCAAAAGAGATCATTCTCGGCCTCCTTTGCCGGAAGAGACAATAGGTACGTCTAGGCCACTGAGATCAGAGAAGGGATAAGAGGAGAAACAGAGAGACGCAAATGCCGGCTGCCCCATACATTTTCCTTTCTGAAAGACTGGACCGAGGGAACCTCTCCCCAGGGAGGAGGGAGAGAGAGAGCTCGGCGTGCCTCAGAAGCTGGCAAGGGAGGTGGGCTAGTTCTGTCAGACCCTCCTGCCCTGCTTCCCAGGTTCTGTCCCGATGACAAGAGCAGGTAAGGAAATAAGGGTCTGTCACATGAAAGACTTGAACCCTGCAAGCGAGTAGGAATTAAAGAAGGTATATGGGCTGAGCTGGGTCCCCCCAAAAATGTGTATGTTGAAGCCCCAACCCCGGGCCTCAGAACGTGACTCTTCTGGGATAGAGCCTTTAAAGAGGTGATTAAGTTACAGTGGGCCCTAATTCAATCTGACTGGTATCCTTCTAAGAGGAAACTTAGACACACAGAGAGACAGCGGGGCTCTGTGATCACAGAGGGAACACCATGCAAAGAGGCAGTGAGAGGGCAGATACCTGCAGGTCAATGACAGAGGCCTCTGAGGGGACCGACCCCGATGACACACTGGTCTGGGACTCGCAGCCTCCAGAAGAGCAAGAAAAGTAATTTCTGTTCTTTAAGCCACCCAGTCTGTGGTATTTTGTTATGGCGGCCTGAGCACACGAATACAGAAGACAATGTTACAAGGAGAAAGGAGGGTGGGGTTAGGCAACTCTGACACTAATCCCAAGAAAGGTCTTGGCCAAAGTATGTTAATCATTTCAAATATTTGATGAGTAGCCGATGGACAGCTGTTGACTAAGCTGATGGACTAAAATGCACAGGAGTCACCCTCAGATCCTAGAGTCTGGATATTTTTAAAGGTCTGACCCCTTTAGTTACATTGCATTGCTCACCTTAAGAACACCTACCACAAAATCTCGTGAACAAAATAAAAAATACATGGCCTGTCCACAATTTTTCTTCACCTAATGATCTTAGAATGACCCACATCTTGAAACAGGCTCTAAAAACTCCCATCATGCCACCCCATTTTGAGTTTTTGACAAAGTGCACGCAGATCATGCTTGCTGATGGAGTGCTCAAGTGAAATGCATGGAGGCTCAAGGGCAGTATTTCTAAGGCAGGAGAGCCCTGAACCAAAATTGTGACCCCTATAATAGCCAAGGCAATAGATCAAGAATATTCTACATCTCTTGGTGGCCAAGGCAACATGTGAAATGTCCATCTGAATTGACATGCCCAAGGGCTATGCCCACATTAGGTTAGTACCCGTGAATGGAAGTTCTAGAGCTGAGGGAGAAGAGGAACAGGTCTGGCATTTGACAACAGCCAGGTGAGGATGTTTCCCTTCTGCCTTAACGCTCACATCCCTTCCTCTGGGAACAGAACTGGGGATGCCACCTGGCCCACTCACTCTAAGCCTGGGGCTCAGATGACCCACAGGGCAGCTGGGGCTGCGTTAAAAGAGCCAAGTCACCACAGGACGTTGAAACCAATCAATGGGTGCCACCAAAGATGCCAGAGGTGAAAAGAACACTCTATCACCCTGCCCACCCACTTCATCACTGCCCCAACCCAACAACTGGGAACTCACGTCTGTGGTTCTCATTTCTGTGGTTGGGCGGGGACCGGGTCTCCTGGTCTTGAGCCTCATCTCCCTCCTCACTGGCCAGGTGAGTGTGAGCGTAGTGGTAGCTAAGTCCTGGCCGGTTCTTGTAGCGCTTGCCGCAGACTAGACGGGAAGAGAAGAGGGGAAAAGGCAAAGATTAGCAAACTCTGCAGTCACTGCCATCATTCTCCCAGGCAGTGCCTCCCATCTGTTTACCCCAGAGCTGGGTTTCCCTTAAGAAGTGTCTCCCACCCTCAGCAAACTTTGCCCCGCTGGACAGAACTGACACCACTGTAACAACATGGGCCCAGGTAAAGAAAAACCAGAAAAGTAAAGGATGGAAGTTGAACTGTGAAAGAGCTCCATCACTTCCTATCTGTGAGACCCTGGGCAAGTCACTTACCCTCTTTGGGCCTCAGTTTCCTCAGAGGGAAAATGGGAATAAGGATAGGACTTAACTCATAGAGTTGTTGGGATAAGATGATCTCTATGCAAAACACTTATAACAGTGCTGGGCACATCGGAAGGGTGATGATTATTATAACTTTGAGGCCAAAGAGCACTGGTGGTCCATCCAGTCCAACATGCCATGGCACAGATGAGGCAAGTGAGGCCCAGCAAGCCCAAGTGATTTGCCTGGGAACACGCAGCTAGTTGAGGCAGAGCCACTAGCACCCAGGTCTCTGGGTTCCCATGCAGTGCTCCTCCCACCACACGGTGGTTAACTCTGTATAAAGTACACAAGCTTGATACGGATAATATTTTGATGTATCACACGGTGATTTTGTGCCAGAAAAACACATCCCAATTCTGCCATGGAAACCACGAAGCCAAGCCACTGTTGGTAGATGTGGGCACAAGAGCTTGTGCCCTTGATGCCCCAGGAAGCCTCTGATACCCAAAATCTAGGAACGTGTCCTCACAAGCTCGACCTCTCACGTGGACAGTGTGAGACAAGGACACCCAGCAACATAAATACGGCTTCATTGGGCACAGAAGAAGAAGGGGGCAGTTCCATTGGTTGGCTGCCCAGTACCTCAGAAGCAGAAGCCTAGCTAAATGGCTTAAGACTAGACCACCCCCACTTTCAATGAAGTTGGATTTAGTGGTTCACTGTTTAGAATGATACATGTGGCTAATTTTTAGTCCTTATCAAAGTTAAGTATTTCCTCTTATCCTTAGAGTTTTATTACAGGAAAATCTGATCAGCCTTTCAGCATCTACTGGTATATGACTCTCCAGCAGTTTGTTGATATGGTGAATTATGTTGATTTCCTAATGTTTCTTCTTATTGAGCCATTCTTATATTCCTAGAATGCTCGCCATTTGGCAAAGAGTGCATTATCCACTTGATAAACTGCTGCTTTCTATTTTCTAATCTTGCCTTTTGGATCTATACTCAGACTTGAGATAGATCTAGAATTTTTGACCTATCTTTTACCGCATTTCGATTTTATGGTTATGCTGACTTCCAAAAATGAATTGAGGTGATTTGCTGTGTGAAACTGGACAAGATACATAGCCTCTCCGTGCCTTTTTTCGTATCTAGAAATGATGATAGTACTACTTGCCTTGAAGGGTTCTAGATAATATTTGTAAAGTATCTCACTCTGTACCCAGCACATAACAGATGCTCAGTAAATGGTGGCAAGGGGCTTCAGCTTAGCCTGCCACATCTTAAGTGCTGGGCCCTCCTGAAAGAAGGACTTTGAACCTGGCCTCAAACAATGGAATTTAGCAATGGTTAGACTTTCTTAATAAGGTGAGAGTCTGAAATTCAAGTTGGTGACCTAATGACTATAAATTCAAGTCCTACAATTGGCTATTTACACTCTCTCTCTCTGTTGTAAATATTTCAAAAAAATAAAACGGCACTAGACATCTCAATTCCATTTGACTCGGGAAATGAGACCTAAAGAGGCCCCTGAGGCACGCTCTGGGCCTGCTTGTGGCTTCTTCTATTTAACCTTTGCAATGATCTGAGGTCAATAAACAGCAAATTGTGGGGTCACTGGCTGTAAATCCACTTAGTAACCAAGCGTACTGTTGTTGAGGAATAAATGTTTATTAAGAATCAGGACAATAATAGTATTTCCATGAGGATGCCTCAGCTGACTCTGGAGACCTCCCTACTACAAACTCCACAGCATTCCATTGGTGCCATTTTGTTGTGTCAATGATCACTGTCTTCCTTAATACAGAATTTCAGGATCTTAATAATCATGGGGTCTCACTTATCAAATTGTTTTATTCTCGCTAATGCTAGATGCCTGGGACAATTCCACGGATCGGGGAATCACGACCCATCCAAGCAAGCATTTCTTCTTTGATCTCCTTGAATCATAGTTACATCTGCACTGGAGGACTTCTCTCAAGGACAGTTTCATACCAATTTCATCTTCATAACAACAACTCCACCCCTTCTGTTGCCATGCACATACTACACCTTCAAAATATATTCATTGAATAGCTGATGAACGAATATGGAAACACTTTGTGGGAAAGCCAGGAGATAGGGGAGGAGGAAAGCGTGTAGAATCTGATCCATCTATCCACATTAATCTCATACTAATAGGTCTTTAAACCTACAAAACCAAACCCAAGCAAAGAGCTTCCCATATCTCCTTCCCCAACACCATAGAGAGTAATGATTTTTAGAGTAAATCCTTTTGCTAGAAAAGAGATTCTGGAAGAGTAGTCCCCAGACCAGCACCATCAGCATCACCTGGGAAGTTGTTAGAGATGCATATTCTTGGGTTCTCCTCTGATCTACTGAATCGGAAACTCTGGGGGTGGGGCCAGAAATCTCTCTTTTAACAAGCCCTCCAAGTGATTCTGCTGCACACTACAGTCTAAGAACCACTCTACTAGAAGAATGAATAGATTTAGGCTTGACTCTGTCTACCCTAGTGCACCTGCCCTTTGAGATGGATGGAAGTGGCAAGTAGGGGCAGTGAGACTTGTGCTCTGTCATTAAAGGAACCAGAACCAGACAGTACATTGAGGTCATGGAAACCAGACCTCTTATGCATCATCCCTATACACAGACCCACAGAGCTTTCCTGATGGAGCTGCCCTTTTCACCACCTGTTTATACCATGTTATTCCGCATCACCAGGTCTTCATAATAAGCACCTGATATGTGCCCAGCCCTGTGGCATCAGAAGGACAAACATAAAGGAGAGCCCCAGTGCCCTCCCTCCAGGAGCTCCCATTCTGGCGGAGAAGACGTAGAAGTCAACAAGCAAAAAGGGAGATGAGACAAACGCACCAGTGTGCACATGCACGCAGGGAAGAGGAGGGGCCAGCACACCTGCTTGAGTGTGGAGGGAGGGCTTCCTGGAGGAGGTGGGAGAGCTGTGGCTTGCAAGGTAGCAGATCATTACCAGACAGACAAAGGAGGCAAAGGCTTTCAGGCAGCAAAGCACATTCCGCCCAACTATGGGGACCTGTGGGCGGGGGTGGGGCGTGATGGAGCTAACAAGCAAGGAAGCCAGGCAGGACTTTGTCCCGGAAACGGGAAGCCAGGGGAGGATTGTAGCCTGAGGACCGACTTACTCAGATTTACATTTTAGAAATCCCATTTAAGCCTACAGCACAGAGGATGGGATTTGAAGGTGGCAAGAGGCTATTTTAATTTTCCGTGTGTGAACAATGAGGATTTCAGGATGGGAGAGGGGTTAAAGAGAAGGAATCTGGTGGAAAAGGGTGGGTATAAGCAGCAAGGAGAAGCCCAGAATGACAGTAACTTGGCCTTCCTGGCCATGCGCCATCCAGGCCCTGTCTAGCTCCCTAGCCTCACCCAACACCACATTCCACCACCTTCTCTGCGCTTCTGCCCATTGCCTTTCCACTCCATAAACACCTTTATTTCTACCACAAAGCCTTTACACAAGCTCTTCCCTTGGCCTACAATGGTCCCCAGCAACAGTTTGCCTAATGAATGCTTCATCATTCTTCAGATGTCAGTTCAAATGTCCTTCCCCAGGGAAGTCTTTCCAGTCAAAATTAGGACCCCAGTTTGTTACCTTCCTAGGACAAATCATGGATCACTATGTGTGCCCCCCATCGGCAGCAAGCATGGCAGGCCCTGTGTGTTTGCACACTGCTGTATCCCCAGTTACCAGCACAGGGCAGATCATGACCGGCACTCGATGTCAGTTAAGGGAAGCAACAAAAACACCCAGGTTCCTATGGGGCAATAGGTCGAAGGATGAGGAGGAAAACCAGATTTAAAGAAAGAAGAGAATGTTCAGTCTGGGGTTGCCCTGCACACCCTGAGCTTAGGAAAAAGATGTGGATGTGGAGGTTGGCAGGGCGGCAGGAGTTAGGGATATGGACAGGAGGAGAGATTATGGAGACAGAGAAAAAAAGGTGGACAGTGGATAGAACTCAGAAAACACCAGTATCTCAAGAATCTGGTGAAAAAAGAGAAACTGGTTTGTTTGTTTGTTTTAAGTTTATCAAGAAAAACTCATCCAGGAATGAGCAACATCAGCCAAAGAGGTAGGGTTTCTAAATGTCCACCACTAGATGAATGGATAAAGAAGATGTGGCATATATAAACCACAGAATATTACTCTGCCATAAAAAAAGAATGAAATCTTATCATTTGCAACAACATGGATGGATTTAGAGGGTATAATAAATTAAATAAGCCAGTCAGAGAAAGACAAATACCATACGATTTCACTCATATGTGGAATTTAAGAAACAAAACAGAAAGAACAAATTTAAAAAGAGACCAAAAAAAAAAAAACAAAACCCAACTCAAATATAGAGAACAAACTGATGGTTACCAGAGGGAAGTGGGGGGGGAATGGAGTTCAAGAGCATACTTAACATGATGAGCACCGCATAATATATGGAACTGTTGAATCACTGCATTGTACACCCGAAAATAATATTAAAGGTATGTAAATTATACTGGGATGTAAATCATACTGGCATTTTTTAATTTTTTTTTTTAAAAGAGGTAGGGTTTCCAGATGACAGGACCAAGGATTCCACCAGTCACGGCCACTGAGAACAGCTACTGAGTGTGTACTGAGTGCCAGGCCTGTGCTCATGATCCAGGTCAGTTTGCTCACTGCAACCCAAGTCCCCATTTCACAGATGAGAAG